CTTGTGTTTTCACTCTCACTTAAGTCCCTCTCCCTTTGCCATCAATCCAAAATCAGCTGAGCTGCAACATTATACAGACAGGTAATAATCAACATAATCACAAGGACACAATATGGCTCTGCTAAAAACACTCACTCTTACACGCACCAAAGTTATATTTATCTAATATTTAACTCCCTCCACCCCCGCATACAATCCCTTTTAGAAGCCCCTCTTCTCTAATTCAACAACGTTGGACGAAATGACATTAAGAGAACGGAATTTACAATTAAAAGGCTGTTCAACGTGTGTTGCAACTTGATCCGGAATCCTAGCTTTATCTGTTATCTGTAAACGTTCCCTAAATCTACTAATTTAGGGATAATCCACTGACATCCTTTAATACACATGTTAATTTGAATCAGATGTACTGATAATATCCGCAATATAAAAGTCCGTCACGAACGGTCTATTATGCTGCAACTCTACAGCTCTGCTAGCCTTGGCGCTAACTTCCGGAGAACGATTGAGAGGCTCCACGATCCGCCATTGCTGTAAAAAAGTGGTCCATTGGAGTGAACGGAGATGACGTAACTCTCAGTCTATACGGCGCTGGCCTGACTGATAGCGCTACTGCTTGGAAGGTCACTTACACTCTCCATTTTATCATGAGTGGTCTCCACTAGACTCACACAAACACACTGTTCAAACAATGCATTTATCCAGATCATGTACAGAGGTGCATGATCTGGATAAATGCATTGTTTGAACAGTTTGTAATACACATTTTATCAAGCCGTCTTTATTTGACCAGGTTTACAAAAGTATTGTAACAGCTAAAAGCCAACAGTCCACACACATTTCTTTCGTTAAAGTCAGCAATATGACCTGGTTAAAGCTGAATTTATAGCATATTATCACCCTATAAAGTTGCTGCAACTGCCCAAATACAATTCCAACAGACACATGGCAACATAAGATTGGGTATATATCTTGTAGTCTAATCACTTATTTTGCTAAATGTTTCACTAGTTATTTTAAGTTCAGTGATCGGCAGCTATGGTGTGCTCCATGGGAAATTTGAATATTTGTGTGCCCAGACATTTTGACTGGAACCGGCCCTGGAAGTTGGATTTTAGACTTGGAAAGTCAGGAGAATTTGTTCAAACTCGACCTCAAATTCCAAAATGGCTGTGCATAAATCAACTAAGGAATAACTGTAATCATTCATAAACACAATACTGTACACAGTGTTTGTATGTGCAAAAATACTTCTTATTTCATCGACTTATTACTGAGGTTATTATTAAGTTATTTATTATTAAGGAGATCAACACAGGGATGAAATCATTTCCGGCGCCGCGTATCAACTTACCATGAAAATGGTGTGTGTGTGTGCGTGTGTGTGTGTGTGTGTGTGTGTGTGTGTGTGTGTGTGTGTGTGTGTGTGTGTGTGTGTGTGTGTGTGTGTGTGTGTGTGTGTGTGTGTGTGTGTGTGTGTGTGTGTGTGTGTGTGTGAGAGTTTGAATGACAGTGTTTGATGCTATCGGTCTACAGACATTGCTCATTTCTGACAACCACAGCGCTTCACAGCTAAAATGCAGGCCCAGGCTCGTGAGGCATCTCTGTTCTGCCATATGTCTCACTGTCTCACTGTGTGTGAATGTGTTGGTGTTAATGTTAAACATAATGGCGATGATGACAACTCTAGCACTGTAGGATGCCAAACATATCTTCGAGAACTAAATAGAGGTGTAACATTTGTTCAACTTCCTACACAAGTTATACATTTAAAGGTCCTGCATACCCATGTAAGTGTTTTCAATTCATCTCACTGATTGCACCTCAAGTTATGTTTAAACTGCAGATTTTACAAAACTCTTTGGAACAATAAGAATAATAGTAGGGTCAGTCGTCCAGTCAGGAGAGTAAGGGAGATGTCAATTAAGCCTAGCTTGAACACACCAAAACAGGTCAATTTGAAAAGTGTAGTCGAGAGAACAAAAGGTTCAAAAAATACAGTTATGTTATGTGTTTTTTTCACTGAAGTTTGTTACAATGGTAACGTAGAGTGTTAAGAGTGAAGTCGTTCAACTGTTCTTTCTTCAGTTTTAGCTGTGAAAACAAAAGTGCAAGTTGTTTGTCTCTATTTTGGCAGAACTTCTAGAGACATCTCTTCAAAGCATGGAAAACAAAGTAGTCTGCCTTGGCCTGGTTCGCCCAGACAGAAGCTCAGTTTGCACTTTGGGAGATCACTGCAGATGCCACAAAAACTATTACATGGTGTCGACCCTCTAGAGCAGCTTTGAGAGTGGTGAGCTTAGTCACAAACCCTCAGGCTGACAGTCACTGGCTGACACTAAGCAGGCTGGCCAGCTCTTCTCTGTACAAGGACTCGACAGCAAGACATCTGAAATCATGGACAGTATGCTGGATGCCTGGATCTCATGGAAGAGCACACCAATGCCTCCTTAGGCCATTCTGGTGGATTCAGATTCTAGTGGACAGGACCAGGCAATGGCAGGTCGTCCCGCTGTCTTCTATACTACCACCAAGGAAGCAAGGCTGATTATAGAGACTGGGGGCACCTGACCTTTGCTCCGACAGGGGTCAATAGTTCACGTCCAATTTATTGAACACAGTCACAGAGAGCCTAGGAGGTAAAGTCCACTGTCTTCCACCCACAGGCTAACAGGCCATAAGATATGTTTCATAGCTCCATGAAGTCTGCTCTTTGCGCCAGTCTCCATTGGGGTATAGAGGCTTGGATTAAATGTAATCATACTTCTTTAGTCTTCTCTAGTTGCCCACTATTTAAACCTTGTGTTTACGTCCAAGACATATCAACTCTTGCAGGAATATCTGCTCTTCTACCCCAGTTGAGTGTGTAACCTAAGAATGACAGTTTGCTGCCACTGAAGCATCCAAATGTTATCAGACATTTCAATGTGTGATTAATGAACACACACACACTTCTTATCACAATGCTCTGCTGCAGTGGCTGAAGTAAGTCACTTCCAGTTTAGGAAAAGTGTTCCATGCTTGCTTTCATGCATGCACACCCGCACAAAGCTGCCCTATGTTTGGTTTGTTTAATCTGAGCGCACAAATGTAATCCAGAAGGGCAATATAACTGCATGCAAAATTAATTAAAAAAAATTCTAGTTTAGATTTTTACGAGGACAAAATGTTTGGCAGTAGCTTGTGCAAATCCTTTATGATTATTCCGAAGATTTAGAAATGAGAGAGAGAGAACAGAAGTGTGTATGGGTGTCATATGTATCCATGTGTTCTGTGTGGTAGTAGAGTTCAGGGGGGTGGGAGTTTGTGTGTGGTCGTGCATGTATTTGCATTTCACAGAGCACAGTCAGCTGCTAGGGGTGGGGTGTCAGCTCTATTTTTAGCTTTCCCAAAGGATCATGGGACTGAAGACAGAGAAAGACACCAGCTACAAAAATACAAATTATGACACTGCTTTTACTGACATGTCCTGGGACATATATAAAAAATATCTCTGCGTAAAATCCAACTCTGACATCAAATATCAAATGAGATAACATACAAATGGTGTCAAAGCACAACTGTGTCATCGGAAATATATTACAATCAGAACAAAATATATACTTTACACCAATAAATTGGAAAAAAAATGTATACTTTTATTTAACCTCAAATACATATTTTTAAGTTAACTATAATACCTTTATGCCACTATCTCAATAATGTGTACAATTATGTATGTGCCTTATCATCAATTAGTATTGCTGTCCTTTGTGGGTCTGGGTTACAGGCCATTGAGTTTGCTTGTTCCAACACCAAAGGCCCATTTTGTCCAGGTAATCTCCCAAAATAGATAAAGAATCAGTGCTGGACTTAAGAAAAAGTGATGACACTTCACCCACAAGTGACTTCACTTGTAAAGGATTGTATGATTCATTATTTAAAACTGTTTCCTATTCCCCTAAACTCATATACCAGAAGTGATGCGAAGGCTTTTCACTGCAATGGATTGCATTCAATAACCTGATATCATCATGATGTGACTTGATTTTATTATTTCCTGTTATGACTGGAGTAGTCATCCTGGAGTTTCCCTGTTAAAGACCACACCATCAGCACAGCACAGAATATGAGCTATCTATGTGTTGCCTGACAACCCCACACACAAGGGCAATATCTGACCTATAACCGAGAAAATTGCTCTTAAATTAGCATCCAGATCTCTGCACGGCTGGAAACACAGACACACAAAGTCTGAGAATACCAACAGTACATAGCAGTCGTAATCAGCCATGCCAATTTGCTATTTTGGGAATGCTGCATAATGTTCTATATAAATATCAGCAGGCCTTTCCACAGCATTTTATTTGAAAAAGCAAATGTATTAAATTGGATTATACAGTAGACATTTCCTATTCCTACTTCCGATTCTTTAAAGAATGAAAGAATTACTCAGTCAGATATCATTTTCACTCATTAAGTTGATCTTGAAGCCCACTCCTCCCGCTCCTTTTACAATCACTGCCAATGATCTCGCCTGGAGTATATGTCTCAAAACAACATTAATAAAAACATTATTGTGAAAGGTCAATTTATCCCTACATTTTTACTTTGCTCATTCCCCACGTCCCAAGGGTGGGGTATTTGGGGTAAGGGTTCGGAGCGCTGTGACCTGTGGAATGCTCACGCAGTCTGGAGCCAATCAGTGTGGATGACATGATGGTAAAAATGGCATGATGGGAAATGATTGAGGATCCTCTTTTATTCATAGCACACGGGAAACTAAAATATATAACAACAATCTGTGTTTTAATAACATGGACAACATTACATAAACACCCCTATATTATTCTGTGTTAGGGAGGATAAACACTAAGTTGTGCAGACTTACTGTATCTCAGATCTGGCAGCTGCAGAATGTGATAATAGCGGCAGTCTTACAGCGATAGGAAGAGAAAGCAGATGTGAAAAATTGTGAAAATCCTATGATGTTTTAATATGATTTAAATAGTGTGTATAGGGGAAGGGTGTTCAGCTGGTTTCATCCATCATAAACACTGAATGCAAGTTGCCCGGTAACCAACCAAACATGCATACACACATGCCAATGAGTTGAGCTGTCGCACAAGAGTGACACAAGGACGAACAGATGAGAGTAAAGGAGAGAGGAACGCAGAGGTGTGTGTGTTTGCTCATTGGTGATTGCATGCAAGCCTGAAACATGGAAACTGGAACATGTTTTTAATAGACATGTTTTAAGAGCAAATGTGTTCCAGTTCTATTTTAGATTTGGTCATAGGAGGGATATGATATCAAATGCCAGTAGCAACACAATGTGCCTGAGACCAGCAGCGGCATCAGATCAAACCGTATCATTCATGACTCATGCTTGATAGAGAAGCCCCTTCCTCTTTATCCCAGTCCAGCTGCCCTATAGACCTATGTGAGTAACATGAGAACTGCCCCCTGAGAGGACAATGCACACTTAACATTCAGCCCAGGTTAACTCATAGAAGATTAAGTGATCATGACCCCCAGATATTATCAGACATTTATTGCGTTCTATGGTATTCCAAGGATAGGATTACTTTGGGAATATCAGAACCAAAGCCAACAGTCTTTTATTGGTCAGTACATCTGTTAGTTTGCTTAGATTAAAAAGTAAGAGCTTTGCTGACACAGAGCCGTTTTTTCTTTTAAATTGAATACAAATATGTTCAAGTTCAGATCTATTTCTATTTGAATTAGTATTACTTTTCAGTCCTTTTATTCAACATGTTTTTGTGCTCTAAATGTTGCATAATAATTATTCACCTGTATTCACAGCTCTTTGCTTCCATGAAATGCTAAATGCTCAGAAGGCAGAACAAATAACTTGATTTATATGACTAGACTATTATTCTGTGCAACCTGGAATAACTTGATGGGCATGAAAAGTGTGTACATGGTAGCCTATTCAATTGGGCATGAGACTGAGAACAATGCAATATCAACCGAAGTGTATTGTGGCCAGGTTTCAGGGCTTTACACTCAATATCAAAGTACTATATTTACTGCAGCGAAGACATTTGAATTACAGTATTTTATCAAGGGATATACACTAAGTTAGAGCATAACTATGTAATTTGTATTTTTGTATTATTTGTTTGTATTATTTTCTTTTTACCTAGAGTGAATCCGTGGTGTCCTGTTTTTCAAGTTCACTTGCTGCTTTAACTCCTGAATTACCCCACTGGGATACATAAAGGTCCATTTGATCTTATCTTATCTTAGTTCAGTTCGATTTTTGTCTGTGTTTTAATGAACACAAGAGGGAGCAAGAGGACAACTAGGACTGCTGTGACACCATTTCCTCAGTGGAAATATGGCTCTCTTTTCCTTATTTAGCGCAATTCCAATCAGAATGAATCAATTAAGGTACAATGAAGTATTGCTCCTTCAATAAGATAATTCTTTGGTGCAAGATCGCAAGACAAGTTGTACAAAGACGATAGCTATGATTTTAGGAGCAAATAGTTTAGTGAATAGTCTAAGTTATCCCACTTGACATGACCCTGGAACTGTCTAGTTAATGAGATTACACACTTCAAATGTTCTTTTAGATTAAATGGTATGTTATGGTACATTTTCCACACATTGGAAATGTGCACCAATGTGCACTGCAGTCTCACCTGTGCTGAACATGTGTGGGGCCTCATCATGGACCTTTGGGATAGCTGCTGTTAGCAGCCCTCCTTCCACTATTATTGTGGGGAAAGCTAATTTAAAAATGAAAAGAAAGCTATTGTTCGTCAACAAACAAACGTAACGTTTAAATGTCAGGTATATAGGAAAACAATATAGGCTATCTTAGACACATCTTAAAGACTATAACAGCTATCAAAAATAATTGAATTTAAGCCTCAAAGTAGCATTAGCTTAATAAGATATGACACTTGGGGGGAATGGACCTACCTGTGCATGACGTCAAGCTGCATACCCCAAGTTTTGTGTGCATGTGTGCACGTTTATCAATAATGAATGAATGACGTGTATGTGAACTATAGACTAAACAACCATCTCTCTGAGGATCCTTGATGACGCAGCTGCAGGTCGATGCCACTGTCAGAGCTTCTTCAGATTCTACGTTATTTCCGCAGTCGTGCGGTCGATATGCTACTACGCTGTGGGTCCTCCTTCCCATCCTCACGCCCCTCCTTTTCACTGGGAAGAATTCTTTTTTTTTTCAACCATTCAAAAAATAGTTTTCCGTCACATTCGCTATTGGGGTGCAATGTGAGCAGTCGACAAAATGATGGGGATTTAAAAAGTGGGGACCAAAGCTAAAGGGACTCCGCATCTTTCTCTCTGCATCACCTCCGCTGCTGGGAGGCTTCAGAGGATCATGCAACACCTCAAACCATGGCGAGCTCTGCTCCTTCTAACCGTGCTGTGCCACCCCGGAACCTCCGATAGATACGGTAAGACGATGGAGATGCAGATAATGGCACGGTCCTTTTCAGAAAATCCCTGTCATGTTCCTATAATATCCCCACAGGTGCATCATGGTGTTTTTAAGTAATGACATCACGGTGGTCTCATAGGCTACTACTCTAGGATACTTTATCCCCTGTGGCATTGCTCTAAGTGTCCTGTAATATTTATGTAGATACATTTAGAGATAGCTGTCTTTCGTGTATTTAAACTAAAATGAAGTGAATGATTTACCAAAGAGTCGTTGGCTATGTGTGTAAATGGGGAGTCTGATAATATGATTAAACTGAGGAGGATGAGAGATCAAGGATGCAAAGAGTGTAAGGGAGGACAAAACTGATTCCAGTAAATGTTCTTTTTTTTCTTTACAGCCTTGGAACATTTTAGAAAATAATGATCAATGTCATGCCATCATCTCGTGCTTTTATTACTTTTCAAAAAGTAGATGGAGAATTAGGTTTAAAACACAAAATAATCAAAAAAATCTATCCGTCACTTTTTTTCTCTCTCATCAATCACTGAAGACAGTTTAAAAGGGGCAGTTTCAGCTTGCCTGATTCATATTGATTATGCTTAAGAAAGAGTATAATTTCATTATTTTTCTTTTCTTGTAGATTGATGCAATACACTGGAATAATGTATTATTGATACATTGATGCAACAAGTGGATTGTTTCAGCAGCTAAACAGTACTGCTTTCTGACTGTCTCGTAGGTATAGGGGAATATTTGTGAAATATTGTGTGATTTCAGTGAGAATTTCTGACTTTTAGAAAGACCAAATATTAGTTTCTCTCCCGCATGTTTTCTCTGGCAAAAACAAGTGAGGAGTTTTTTTTGTATTCCACATACTTTCCACATTGTGCTTTTATCCTATATACATTTGAGGAATACATTGTATTTTTTATTAATTTGTCTTTAATTTTTAGTATTAATATCTTTCATCCAAATGTGGTGCATTCAACACTGTGTAGTGATTGCACTTATAATAGAGTTCCAAGGCAGCTAACGGGAATATCAAGGGTACCATAATGTATGCAATTAATCAAAACATAGCTTTCAATCCATAAAAACAGGCTTGAACATACAATAATGGTGCAATACTGGACCCTCTGTGCTGTTTGCCATTATAAATCATACCTCATTGATTGATTGAAAATCTAAGAAATGACAATGGTTTATTTTTTCCAAGCTAACAATAAACAATGGAGAGCTCAATGGGAAGCCATTCTGCAAGGGCCTGAGATGTCAGCACCATGGAGAGAAACCAGCAGTCACTGTTGCTTCCCTCTTTCTCCACTCATCCAACGCCTCCTTGCTTCCACTTCTGCTCTTTCACACAAGCATCCATCCATCTGTTCATCTAATTAGCCATCCATCCATACAACCGATCGTCCGTCCCCACACACGCAGTAGGAGGTTTCTGTTAGAGCTGACATTTTCTTAAGGGCGGATGTCCTGTTGCTATGAAAAACACTGTATACTCAGTATATGTCAGTCTTCCACTGAAATATTCTTACAAACTTAGGAGATCAATTGGATCATTTTTTAACAGGATAGGGTTCACATTTCTTTATTTTATTGAATAAAAAGAATTATTTAATGTAGCAACCTTCATGTTACTATTTTATCAAAATTGCAATTAGAAAAATCAGCGGGTTCAGTACACTAAATGAGAGCAATAAATGGAAACTAATTGTAATACCCAAAAAATAACAACAAGTAATAGGTTGAAAAATGTTTCCCATTGGTTTAGGCTCAAAGATTGTTGGTTGTCTTTTTTGAGGAATTCTAGAAAACTTAAACTAGCGAAAATGACTTTCCACCATTAGTCATTAAATATAGCCTCATGAATTGAAAGTGAAGACCTTGACAAGGCATCAAAGAAACACAATACTCACTTGTACTGTGTGTGAAAAGTGTGTATTTGCATGTGTGTGTTTCTATTCAAAGAAAGTACAGGTGAGTCACTCTTTTTAGAGGATAGAGGTTGAGGTTTCTGTTTGTGTTAACCAGCTTCTCATCTGCCAATTTTTGCATTTAATGGGATAATGAATTGGGATACATCTGTAATTTCCTCCATACACTTAGATTTCTTACTATTTATTGGAGTATTGGAAAATAAAGGTGATTTTCCCAAGAAGTTAGACGTGACGTTAAAAGGAGTAAACAGAGACAGAATAAGCCACGCATATTCTGCTGTATTACGCTCCTATCTATCGTCAGCCACCTGCTCCTTCCCACACTGCTGAACCCTCCAAGGTGTTACTCACCACCCTAAAATGAAAATGTGTGAAACAGCTAAAAATAAAAAGCACAGTAAGTATGAAACTACTACTGACAACACGGTTCAATTACAATCCTAATCAGCATAACGATATAGCCCAAAACTAATCGTGCCCCTATTTCAAATGAGTCTGTGAATGTTTTATCTTCATGCTTATTAAATATATTTGTAAAACCACTGATGGCTGTTCAACCTGTGGATGTATGTGGATGTTTTCTGTGCAGGACCAACATTTGTATTTCAATTTTTGCCCAATGTTAAAGGATTATTACAGGGGCTTTTAAAATGTCCTTATGAAGTCTCCATAAGTGAAGTGTCTTTGAAATCTGACATTGCTGTGTTCTCATTTCAACCTCTTAAATATGAGGTAAAGCTGTGGTTGCCATGGATATCGCTTTGAGAGATTTTGACTCTGAGTACCTATTAGCTCTCTCTTTGTCATTCTACCTTAGGTTGCCTGTTTGAGAGGAAACTGTGCACGAGGGACCAGTTCTGCTCTGATGGTGAGTGATACACACACACACACACACACACACACACACACACACACACNATTGATATATTTAGAGGGAGGGGATCTAAAGGAATGCTTCAAAACTCAGAGGATTACTGAAACTACCATGAATTTAAGAAAATGGTAGAAATTAATCTAATCTGAGTTTTGAAGCATTCCTTTAGATCCCCTCCCTCTAAATATATCAATAAACATTAGAAAGTGATGCTCCTGACTACCATACAAGTTTAAGAAGATAATATTGGTTTTAAAGAATTCAAAGCTATAAACAGCAACAGGCTCTTTAACCAAGGCACTGTTAGCCTAACATGTAAACTAGTTGTTCACACTAATCCTAATATTATCACTTAATATTAGCAAATTCTATTTTATTTTTAAAAACATATTGATGTAAATACATACACATATCGATTTGTTTTATAAATATTGCAAATCAAAACCTTTATTCACTAACAATTACCAAAAATCGTAGTTCTATCTCCTTTTTATCAATGCATTCACATTGCCTGCCATGAACTTCCGGGGAACGATCCTCGTCTGCATGAACCACGTGACGATAACCGTTTTTGGACTTCCGCTGTCGTAACTCTTCTATCTATACGGCGCTTAGTCAGGCTATTCTGCTCCTTATGTAACCAAGGGTAAACACATAACACGATTGTAGCTCCAAAACTACTGGCAGGGTAACAATTCAAAACATATCAAATATAAAGCATTAAGACACTTCTAAGGTGATTCATTTTTATGGGATGTAAATGACTACATTAAGAAAGTTTAAGCTTTGAAAAGTAGCTTGGATTAAGATGTCATTTAAAAAAAAAAACAGTTGTTTATTAAAAAGATGTATGTGCTTTCATGATCCAGATTCTGTATTACCGTTACAGCTTCAAACTGAATTACGGTAAGTATTCCTTGCCTATTTCAAAAATGCAAAGCTATTTTAAACTGACTTAAAATTAGATGTGATCTATTTAAGTATATCGACATATAGACTGTCGCTCCCCTGTAGATAATATGCCCACAGGATATGGTATTCAGATAGTGTTTGTGAAAGAAATATACACACACTACACCACACACCCACACATACACTGAAGGCCACCGCCCTTCCCAACTGTTGAAACCAGAACCCTTCAACAGCTGAGTTGAGGGCTCGCAACAGGCAGATGGGGGGAGGAATGAGAGGAGGCGCTGGAGAAAAGATGAGTGGCTGTAGAGAGGGGGAGGAGATATGGAGGAAAAGCCTGTAAAAGAACGGATGATCAAATGGATTTACAAAAAGATAAATATAATGTTTCCCTTAAAATGTGGTTATGTATACAATTTAATTTGTCATATCTAAATAAATAGGTTATGATTTATTATTCTACACATTTCATAGGCAACATGAATGACCAAAAATAATGAGTCATATTAGTAAAAGTGCTTTCTGTTCACAGTGATAAGGACTTAATTAAACTAAAGTCGCACTAAAGCAGGGATATTTCATTTTATTGTTTAAAAAAGTTCCTATATATTCTCTATAAACAAAAACAACATTACAGTGTTGCTCATTTATAGTTTGCAAATGATGAAAGTAGTAAATGAGAGTAACCTGGGGTAACATTTTTACTTTCTATGTTGTCGTTGAATTCAATGGACATCTCCAAGATGTTTTCCCAATCTTAAGCCATATCCAGAACCGATCTATGGTGAACGTTGGCTTGGGACCTTGATCAATTCCGGCAGTGATCAATTAACACAATCGGGTCTAAGTACAGTGTAGGAGG